TTGTCTCTCTGTCTGTCTGGCGAGCGCATGTGCCCTATAGCAAAAATATCTCCAAAAAAAAAAAAAAGGGGGAGCTCCTGGATCCTACGTGGCCAACCGTGGTTCAAATCCTGTCCTCGGTGGCCTTAAAAACACACTATGCACGTGTGTGCCCCAAATCCTGACAGGATGCAGAAATGGAGGAGGAATTGTGGCATGTCAGTGCCCTGCTGGGGGGTGCTTTCTCCCCCTTTCTCTGTCTGTTTCTTTCTGGTGAGCACACATGCCCTTCGGCTATAAAAAAAATCACATCTGTTTTACTATTAAGTTTGCCCTAGAATGAGGGACTGCTCTATAGGGCACTGGTTAAGAGTCAATGTTCCTGGGTTCAAACCCTGGCACTGCCACAGATGAGCTTTGTGATCTTAGGGGTGTTACTTAGTTCCCCCATGTCTGTTTCCATATTTGTAAGGGGAGGTTAATGGTTGTTTTATCTTACAGAGTGGGCGTGAGAATTCAATGAATTAAAGTGTGTGCATCCTTCATACGGTGCCTGATATATTTAAGCAGTATGTAAATTTTGCCTGCTGTCGTCCGTCACTTATGATTACATTTATACAATGTCAAATCCTTTTTCTTGGTACTGGACTAAAGGATGAAGTGCGAGATCAGTCCCAAAGCTGAATTTGTTCTGCAGCAATTCGGCAGCACTGAAAAAAGGTTACGCCAGAATACCTTGGTTAAACCATAGCATTTTTCTCCCATGACATAGTTATAGGAGTCCTCATTGTGTTTAAATCAAAATTTAATTTATATTTAGTGCTCTGGAATGGTTCCTCAAAAATGATTCATCTTTTGGCTGTTGAGTTCCCCTTGTTGCAGTTTTTCAATAAAATCTCACTTGATCTTCTGTGATTCTCATCCTAAAGAATTGCCTCTGCCTCGCTTTATGTCAAAGAATGATGGCGAAATACGATTTGGAAACCCAACTGAGCTGCATGGGACCAAGGTTCAGATTCCATATTTAACCACGGAGAAAAATTCCTTCAAAAGAATGGACGATGAGGATAAACAGGTAAACAGTCTGATCAGGCATGTTCATTTGATTCTGACCATAAAACCTCACCCAGCAGGCCTCTTATCTGCTGTTAAGCTTCCAGCAAATCTCACCATCTGGAACACAATTACGGACTTGGAAGCGAGCCAGTAAAGTTTCCTTGTAACAAGAAGAAGAGGCTGATGCGTAGGAAATGCCATGAGCCACCTATAGGTTCTTTGGAACCCACTTGAATGTAGAATTGTATCTAAAATAAGGTTACTCATTTAATATAAGGGAGTCTTCAGAAGGTCATGGAAACTGTATTATGAAAAAAATTATTCATAGGTTTCCATTTTTTTTGCACCAAATAAACTTGTACTTTAAGCTATTTTCCATAATTTTTTGAAGTGTTTGTATACTTACTTGATTTCTCTAGGTCAGTGGTTTTCTAAATGGGTTCTCTGAGATGTACCTTCTAAGAGTTTTTTTAATAGATCCTCTTCTCCAAAAGGAAGTCTGGAAAAGGAATTTCTCTGGTTAAGTTTGTTTGGAGACTTCTACTGTATATCCCATTCTTGTGTCGGGGGGAGACTGAATTCTTAGTCTTAGAAATGGATTGTGTATATTAGCACAGCAAAGGCCCTGAAAAGTCCGGCAGTAGAGATCTGGGTATCTGTAGTTACTACATTTCTTTCACTAGAGAATCCTTTTTGGGTAACATGTTTGGAACACCATCTTGGGAAATTCTGCCTTTCTCCATTTAGTAGGTTTGGAACCAAAATAGGGATGATGGACTTTTAAAATTAGACCACCAGTTGCAGTAGTCAGATGGTGATTAGTAAAGACCAAAGGATAAGACCCCAGAAGAGTGAGCCTACCACAGAGAGGTAAATAATCTACACATTTAAGTAGACCTTGAAGACATTAAGGTAGAGCCCATACTAATAATAAAGATATGGAATCATGCAGAGAAGTAAAATTGTATTCAACATAGTGTATTCTAGGAGACAAAGAAATTATCAATAGTTATAGTTTAGGAGGACTTGAATCAAAATATTTTAAAAATGCAACAAATTTTAAAGGGCAGTGTTGGAAAATGAACTTACATGGCTCACCCTGATGATGTGGGATATATGAGGTGTTGCTGTAGAAGTTTATGTATTTTTAGTTCTTATATCTCCTTCATTCTCCTCTTGGGATCTTGGGCACGCATGCACACACGCCCGGCGTGAGTTTTAAGCCACCGGGTCTGGGACGCTAACCGCAGTTGACTACGTGGGAGTCCAGCGACATAGCCATTACGCTAACTGCTGGTTCCCCTAATGGTTTTGATAGTAGAACTGGCTGAATGTTAGGTTGATTGCTCTGCCTTCATACATTTTCCTTATTCTGTTAGGAAAAGACAACCAGAGGTGGAGTGTAAAAAGTCCTTAAGGAATCACATAGGGTGGGCCAGTCCCATACCCTCATGGTCAAGGGAGCTCCTGGGGACTAGCAGTTAGAGTAATGGCTATGTCGCTGGACTCCCATGTAGTCGACCGCGGTTTGCGTCTCAGACCCGGTGGCTTAAAACTCAACACCGGGCATGTGTGCATGTGTGCCCAGGATCCCGAGAGGAGAATGGAGGAGAAGGGATTGCGGCGTGGTCATCCCCCTTAGGGGGTGATTTCTCACTTTCTATCTCTTTGTCTCTCTGTCTGTCTGGCGAGCGCATGTGCCCTATAGCAAAAATATCTCCAAAAAAAAAAAAAAGGGGGAGCTCCTGGATCCTACGTGGCCAACCGTGGTTCAAATCCTGTCCTCGGTGGCCTTAAAAACACACTATGCACGTGTGTGCCCCAAATCCTGACAGGATGCAGAAATGGAGGAGGAATTGTGGCATGTCAGTGCCCTGCTGGGGGGTGCTTTCTCCCCCTTTCTCTGTCTGTTTCTTTCTGGTGAGCACACATGCCCTTCGGCTATAAAAAAAATCACATCTGTTTTACTATTAAGTTTGCCCTAGAATGAGGGACTGCTCTATAGGGCACTGGTTAAGAGTCAATGTTCCTGGGTTCAAACCCTGGCACTGCCACAGATGAGCTTTGTGATCTTAGGGGTGTTACTTAGTTCCCCCATGTCTGTTTCCATATTTGTAAGGGGAGGTTAATGGTTGTTTTATCTTACAGAGTGGGCGTGAGAATTCAATGAATTAAAGTGTGTGCATCCTTCATACGGTGCCTGATATATTTAAGCAGTATGTAAATTTTGCCTGCTGTCGTCCGTCACTTATGATTACATTTATACAATGTCAAATCCTTTTTCTTGGTACTGGACTAAAGGATGAAGTGCGAGATCAGTCCCAAAGCTGAATTTGTTCTGCAGCAATTCGGCAGCACTGAAAAAAGGTTACGCCAGAATACCTTGGTTAAACCATAGCATTTTTCTCCCATGACATAGTTATAGGAGTCCTCATTGTGTTTAAATCAAAATTTAATTTATATTTAGTGCTCTTGAATGGTTCCTCAAAAATGATTCATCTTTTGGCTGTTGAGTTCCCCTTGTTGCAGTTTTTCAATAAAATCTCACTTGATCTTCTGTGATTCTCATCCTAAAGAATTGCCTCTGCCTCGCTTTATGTCAAAGAATGATGGCGAAATACGATTTGGAAACCCAACTGAGCTGCATGGGACCAAGGTTCAGATTCCATATTTAACCACGGAGAAAAATTCCTTCAAAAGAATGGACGATGAGGATAAACAGGTAAACAGTCTGATCAGGCATGTTCATTTGATTCTGACCATAAAACCTCACCCAGCAGGCCTCTTATCTGCTGTTAAGCTTCCAGCAAATCTCACCATCTGGAACACAATTACGGACTTGGAAGCGAGCCAGTAAAGTTTCCTTGTAACAAGAAGAAGAGGCTGATGCGTAGGAAATGCCATGAGCCACCTATAGGTTCTTTGGAACCCACTTGAATGTAGAATTGTATCTAAAATAAGGTTACTCATTTAATATAAGGGAGTCTTCAGAAGGTCATGGAAACTGTATTATGAAAAAAATTATTCATAGGTTTCCATTTTTTTTGCACCAAATAAACTTGTACTTTAAGCTATTTTCCATAATTTTTTGAAGTGTTTGTATACTTACTTGATTTCTCTAGGTCAGTGGTTTTCTAAATGGGTTCTCTGAGATGTACCTTCTAAGAGTTTTTTTAATAGATCCTCTTCTCCAAAAGGAAGTCTGGAAAAGGAATTTCTCTGGTTAAGTTTGTTTGGAGACTTCTACTGTATATCCCATTCTTGTGTCGGGGGGAGACTGAATTCTTAGTCTTAGAAATGGATTGTGTATATTAGCACAGCAAAGGCCCTGAAAAGTCCGGCAGTAGAGATCTGGGTATCTGTAGTTACTACATTTCTTTCACTAGAGAATCCTTTTTGGGTAACATGTTTGGAACACCATCTTGGGAAATTCTGCCTTTCTCCATTTAGTAGGTTTGGAACTAAAATAGGGATGATGGACTTTTAAAATTAGACCACCAGTTGCAGTAGTCAGATGGTGATTAGTAAAGACCAAAGGATAAGACCCCAGAAGAGTGAGCCTACCACAGAGAGGTAAATAATCTACACATTTAAGTAGACCTTGAAGACATTAAGGTAGAGCCCATACTAATAATAAAGATATGGAATCATGCAGAGAAGTAAAATTGTATTCAACATAGTGTATTCTAGGAGACAAAGAAATTATCAATAGTTATAGTTTAGGAGGACTTGAATCAAAATATTTTAAAAATGCAACAAATTTTAAAGGGCAGTGTTGGAAAATGAACTTACATGGCTCACCCTGATGATGTGGGATATATGAGGTGTTGCTGTAGAAGTTTATGTATTTTTAGTTCTTATATTGATAGTTAAGGGGGCTGTAGCGAATCCTGTTTAACACTCCATGTACTGTCATTTTCATGATTCTGACACATTTAAACCAGTTCTTTAGGAATATATAAGAAAGGGGGTTATAGAAATGTTCAGTTCATATTTTTTGGCAGATTTCCCCACCAGCATTGGAGAGGAATGAGGATCCACTGTCTTATGGTGGTTGGTGCCCTGGGAAATTTGTAGGCCCAGTCCCTGGCTGTGTGAAAGAGGATGTGTCCTTTCACTGTAGGCTGGGTTTATGCTTGGCTCAGCCAGTCTGTGCATGCTTCGTAATGAAGATATTTTCCTTTTTTTTTTTTCTTTTTTTGCTATAGGGCTCATGTGCTCACCAGAGAGAGACAGAGAGAGAGAAAGGGAAAATGAGAAATCATGTCCCAGGAGAGAAGGCCACGCTGGAGATTGCCATGCTGCAATCCCTTCTCTTTCATTATCCTCTCAGGATTTGGGGCATGCACGCACACGCACTGGACATGATTTTCAAGCTGCTGGGTCTGGGACCTGAACTGCAGAATTGGCCGTGTGGCCAGCTTAACTTCCTCACCACCTGCTGGCCCAGTATTTTTCTTTTTCTCAAAAAAGAGTAATTTTATCTCAGGTTGCATATTTCTTTTTAAACTAAGGGGACCTATGCAGTCTCTGTGTTAATAAAAAGCAAAGTTCCCTTGTTATTTGGGTACTCTAAAATTATCAGTCTCTTGGTAGTTTTTTTTTTTTTTTTTTTTTTTTTTTTTAAAAAGGAGGAACTCCAGCAGCAAATAGGGCTGTTTACCTTGCCTAGGGTCCTATTCCAGGTTCATACTCGAATTGGGATTCAAATTGTAGCTTGTTACAAGGCTTCATCTTAGTATTTAGGAGAGAAGTGGCTTACCCATAATAAATTGTTTTAGAATCTCTCACTGTAAAAAAAAAAAGAAAATTTAAAAGCTGGTATTTTACTTTGGCATAGTAAGCTCCAAGAATATTTAACATTGAACATTTAAAATATGTATTTTAATGTTCATATTTGCTGGAAGACTTGATAAGTATAAAGCCAGGAAGTAGAAGTGTTTGTTAATGAATGAACATTAAATCCACAAAGAGATCACACTTGGGAGCATGAATGTTATTTCATGTGATCAGTGTCTTTTGTTCTCCAAAGGAAAATATTACTGGAATAACTGACTGTGTTTCAGGCTGGTTTTAGTAATTTAGGTAACTCGGCACTGGTGAGACTTGATTCTCTGGGAGATTTTATATCCTCAGACACTGCTTTTTAACCATGCTGCATTTTCGAGGAAACATTTCCCTGCTTTGTTAAATCAGCCAGGTCACCAGCAGTAGGGGTGCATTAGGCTTCCTAACTGCAGCTCAGAACACCAGGTTTCTTGCATGGTCGCCTCTGAACTCTGCTCTGGTTCTTTGAAGCAGGAAACACAGTCTCCCACGATGTCACCCCTCGCCTCCCCTCCTTCTTCCCCGCCTCATTACCAGAGGGTGTCCTTGAGCCATGGCTACAGCAAGCTGCGGAGCGGCACAGAACAGATGCATGCAGGTAAGAGGCGACCTGGGGGCCAGCTGTCCCAGGTGATGGCTTAGAGACTCCGTCATCTACCAGGCAGCAACACCAGCAGCTGCTTAATTTCCTGATTTAATTATCCCGGTCTTTGGAAGCATGGCTCAATTTAATTTTATATTCTCAAGCCAGGTTTATTTATTTTTTTTAAAGAAATGAAACATACCTCAGTAATGCTGCCTCTAGTCCTACAGACTAGTTCATCTTTAGATTTGTAAACAACTAATTAGATGATTTAACCTTTTATGTACAGATCTCATTAAACTGGAACATAGTACATTAAGGGTTCATATTTTTGCAATTGGTACTCCTTTCTGAAAACATACCAAATATATTTATGTTATAACTCGCTTGGTGAGATTGCTTTAAAAATATAACTATGCAAAAACAAAAGAGTGGATCAAACCTTTAAGGACTGAGCACATACATTAAAATATTTAGCTTTTACATTTTGGAATATGGATAAAGGGAGTGCTAGGGTAATGTTTTTCTGAAAAGCATGTGAGGGACAAAATCGTGGGGTTGCCTCTTGCTCTCGTTCATGCTCTGTTGGCCATGTTAGTGGTAAAATTGGTTGGCTGGTTCTGAGGATGACTTGCAGAGTTGGCTTCCTGGGCTGCAATGCTTAGCGCTCCATAAATTCACTGCAGCATCTTGTCCTCCTGAGGCTCAGGCTCCTAGTTTAAGATATGACCAATTAAAGGTATTCCAGAATTGGATGTCTGTATCCTCCCCTTTCTATTGTGGACTGTGGTTGAAAATGACCCAGTTTCTGCAGGTTTTTGCTTTATCAAAAATAATGGTGACTTCTAGCTACAGGGACAGAAATAAAAATGTGAGCTAGGCTCAACTATAGAGAAGCTGTCATCTTGCAGAGAGAAGTAGGCATGGCATGCTGGAAATAGCTTTTGATTAGAATCAGGAGGTGTAGGTTTCTGTGTCCAGCTGCATGACTTTGGGTAAGCCATGTAACTTCTCTGAACCATGGTTTCTTCTTTTCTTTTAAGCTAGCGTGATGGTGTCCCTTAGAGGTATGATGAGGATTAAGTGAGAACTTGAGTACAAAATCTGTTGGAAAATTAAATCCTATGCAGATACAAGATGATGTTGCTAATGTGTACTAGCAAAAAAAAAAAATCACTCTCCTGCCACTAGTCTATCCCACTGGTGTCTAAAACTGAGTGGGGTTGAGAATTCTTCATTTTTTTCTTACAGTTTTTTTCTTTTTCTTTGGGTTATAGAAAAAGTCATGACATATTTTTTTCTGTTTTTCTATGCAGAAATGCACTTTTATGATGACCCAAGAGAAGTAGTTTTTTTTTCCCCCTTTTTCTAATACTATTTGGGCATAGACTTTCTTTCTTTCTTTTTTTTTTTTTTTAAAGATTTTTGCCATAGGGCATGTGTGCTCACTGGAGATAGGTAGAGAGAGAGGGAAAGTGTGAAATCATCCCCCTGGGGAGATGGTCACACCATAATCCTTTCTCCTTTATTCTCCTCTCAGGACTTTGGGCATGTAAGCACATGTGCCTGGCACGTTTTTCATGCTGCCAGATTCAGGACTTGAACCATGGAGTCGGTTATGTGGGATCCAGTGCCTTAACCACCATGCCAACTGCTGGCTTTGAATGCTGTTTTTTTTAAAGAATTATTTAACTTTATTTATTTATTTATGTATTTTAATCTGATCAGAGAGGAGGGGAGAGAGAGAGAGAGAGAGAGAGAGAGAGAGAGAGAGAAGAGAGGGAGGGAGGAAGAGAGCGGGGGGAGAGAGAGAGAGAGAGAGCGAGCAAGTCACCAAATCTGGAACTCGAACTGTGGTTGGCCATGTGGGAGTCCAGTGCCCTTAACCACCACACCACCTTCTGACCCCTGAATGTTGATTTTTAAGTCACAGGTGAGTCTATTTTTGTTCTATTGAATCAGCCAATCACCAGTTCTATCCTTGCTATTCCTTAAAAAACTTGTCTGTACGCTCCCTCTCTACTTCATGCCCCATTCTTTCCTCATTCCATCCCAATTACACTTCCATTCATTCCCCCAGGTGGTAAGGACACAGCCTGATTCTCTCCATCTCTCTCAGTTCTCAACAGCCTGTGCCAAGGTTGTCCATGGCTTTTTCTTTCAGACTCTTTCAAAAAGTGAGGCACACTCCATAGGTATGATGAAATGCACCCATTTAAAACCTTCAGTTTGAGTTTGGTTATGCCCACCTGGCTATTACTTTGATCAAAAATAGACTGTTTCCATTACACCAGAGATGCCCGTTTCAAGCTACTCCCAGCCCCCTGGATACAAGCACTGTTCTGATTTTTATCACCATTGATTGGTTTTGCCAGTTCTAGAACTTCACACAGATGGAAACATGCAGAATGACTGCACTCATTTTTGTCTGCCATCTTTCCCTCTGCATAATGGTTGAAATTCATCCATATTGTTGTATTAGTAGTTTGTTTTGATTATTCAGTAGTATTCCATTGTATGAACATACCACAGTTTGGTGACCCATTCTCCCATTGATGGCCATTTGGATTGTTTCCAGTGTTTGACTGTTAGGATTAAGCATACTGTGACATTTGTGTATGAGTCCGTTTTGGACATATGCTGTTGTTTCCTTGGCACCTGGGAGTGGAATCACTGGATCTTAAAGTAGCTATAAAAGAAACTGCCAGCATTCTAGTTGTTTTTTTAAAAAATTATTTACTTCTTCCAAAAGAGAGAGAGAGGGAGAGAGAGAGAAAGAGAGACACAGCACTCCTGACAAGGCCCCAATGCCACAACACCCCCAGCTTCTGCCTGCCTGGGTCATGGGTGCTAGTATACTCAGTGTACTTCCGGGAAGTCTCTGGATGTGAACTAGTAACTTTCTCATGTGAGTCTGCCTTGCAGAGTGCTGTGTTTTACCGCTGTGCCACTGCCTGGCCCCAGGAGTTCCAGTTTGACATTGAACTTCACAGTGATGAAATCATTAAGTTTTTTGTTGTTTGTTTTAATACTCTTCCTCTTGGAGAAAGATGCTACTTGTAGTTTCCTATTAAACAAAGGGGATCAAAGAATTATTTGTTTGGCATTGAGTTGCTTGTTTAGGTTTCATTTGGGAGGAAAGTAAGTCAAGGTAATAAATAATACCTACCATTTACCTCCTGAGTTTAGGTCCAGTTGAGGAATGAGTTAGAAGTCAGGCTGATGATGGTCTGAATGACTTTGTTACCAATGTTGCTGATAGGAACACATAACTTAGACTTGTGACTGGGTGGACTTCAGATACTGCCTTTCTAGTCAGCGGCAGGGTTGGCCAGCCCAAGCTTTCCAAATGGTTAGGAAGAGAAAATCTGTCTCTCCAGAAATGACCCTTCCCAACATACACACAGCCAAGTCTTCATCCAGGCCTTAGCAATGAGTTGTCTGTCTCTTCCAAGGGAAGGCCTTCGTAGATGTAGGACAGGAGCCAGGGGCCAGGTAGTGGCCTTCTCTCCCTGTGTCTCTTTTGGGCAGTAGACGCTCTTTCCTTCTTAGGTAAGCAGAGGCACTGGGACTTGATTCACAGGGAAAGTTCATGATCACTCTCTCAACCAAGCTCCCCTAAACCGTGTTTAAAATCTTTTAGCACAGTTGGAATTAGGGGTTTTATTCAGTGTTGCAGCAACACGGAAGGACTTTGGAAAGTTCTGCATTTTAGAAGTCAATACCTGCCTACCAGCAGAGACTTAGTTGTGTTTTTTTCTTATTTTTTTTTTTTAAGGCAGGGTCTTGCTTTGTCATGGACCTTCTGTCTCAGCCACCCAAGTAGCTGGAACCACAGGTGCACATCACAGCACTTGCTTTATTCGGGTGAGCCTGAACTGAACGTAGGCCTCCTGTGTGGCCCCAGCCTACTCAGGAGCAGTGTCTTTGCCTGCATGCCCTATAGCTGGGCTCAGGCTTACTTTCTAAGACTTGGATTATGTGGGTTTTTTTTTTTTTTTTTTTTTGGTATGTGTGTGTTTCTTTTAATGTTTTTTTTTTTTTTTTAAAAATTGGGCTGTTGGAAAAGTCATGACATATTTTTGCATAGAAAAATATGTTATGACTTCTCAGACAATCCAATATTTTTATCCATTTTAGCAGGTTCTGAAAATCCCTTAATGATTTGCCAGGCCATCATTTACTATATATGCTTTGTACCGAAGTTTATTTATTTCTTCTATGAGAGACACACAGACATACAGAGAGACACACAGACACACACATATAGACAGGCATCCCCAACAGGGTCTTGATGCAGCAATCCACCCCCAGTCTCTGTCAGCTCTGATCATTCAGGTGCTCCTATACAGGTCTTGGGACGTGAAATATGAACCTTCTCATGTGGGACTAGTTGCACCACTGTTGTGCCACCTTATGGCCCTAATTTTGCTACTCTAAAATGTGTTCATGGGGCCTGAAGATGGTGTAGCAGTTTCGTCACTGGACTCCCACATGGCCGACTGAAATTCCAGTTCTAGACCTGGTGGCTTAAAACTCAAATCAGGTGCATGTGCGTGCATGCCCAAGATCCCAAGAGGAGAATGGAGGAGAAGGGATTGCAGCATGGCCATCCCGCCTGGGAGTGATTTATCGCTTTCTGTCTCTCTGGAGAGTGCGTGTGCCCTATAGCAAAAATCTCTACTAAAAATAAGTAAGAAAAATTAATATGTGTTCATGTATTTTAATGTGTTATAACGTTGTGTTCCAGTTGCTGGGAAGAAATATGAAAAGCAGATTTGAGCCCAAGAGTGAATTGTTCTTGGCGTGCTACTGTACCTTCCTTATATTAAAAAGATCAAACTATGTTGAACAGGGTGCCAGGCTATCTTTTCACTTAATTTTCCTTATAAGTAGGCTATAGAAAGAAAACATTTTACTTACCCATATACTTTCAAAAACTCGGACTGCTAACACACAGTGATGAGAAGTGGTTTCAACTTAGATAATCATTTCTCCTTTCTGTTGGAGCTGAATTCTACCTGGCTATTTTGCATGCTCTCCTTACCATATTGGCAAGGTCATTATTCAGTTTTCTGGAAATAAAAAGAGTGAAAACATTTCATTTTTATGACTTAAAAACTCTTTTAAAAGGTAACAGAATTACTTAAAACACTTTGGTTATTGAATAGTATAAATATAAACATAAAATACATCTATTCACTTCTGTATTTTGGTCTACTTGGTTTTACATTTATTTGATAAGGAAGACAGTGCCATTTATTTTTCAAAAATAAGATAAATGATAATGTTGATTCTTAGCATTCACAATGCATATTCATTTCCTTCTTTGGAGGGATAGACAATGCATGGAAAACATTTAAGTGGAGTATATAGAGAATTTATAAATTTATAACATGGCACTTTTGCAGGCTACTCTCATTGTTTTCTATCCCTTTGAGGTTGTTACTGTTCTACCCTCACAGTTTATTTAGAATCTTAACCTTATTTAAATATTTTCCTGCCTTATCATGAATTGGTTGACTATCTTCGGATTGTTCAGTGACATTGTCCCCAGAGCATGGCAGTTGGTCTGTCCTAGGTGGCCCTATGAGCACATGCTCTAATTCCTTTGCCAGTTCTTCTCTGTATCAGTTTGAGTGTAAAGTCTTAATTTGCAGGTGGTATCTTTGCATACCATGCTGACTGTTCCTCTTGCTGTTTCAGCTCCTTATGAAGCTAGACAGACCCTTGCCCAGTCTGAGGGACCTTCATCTGGGGGCCCAGGAGTGAAACCTCTCAGGCACCAGGCTTCCCTTATCCGGGTAAGTGATGATATGGGGTTATGTATGGGGGAAGTGGTGAACTAGGGACTGTGGCTTTTTGATGGGCCCTCCTTTTCACTGAGAGGAAGATGTGAGCCTGTCTCTACATGCAAATATTGTGCTTCTTGTTCTGTTGCTTGTGTGTTTTCCTAAATCTTTTCTACTCTGTATGGTTCTACTCCTTCTTAATCTTTCTAGAATAAACCAAGCTGGTTCATTTTTTTCTTAGTCTCACCCCATCCATTCTTTGACTCCCTCCCTCCATCGCCCCCTTCCTTCCTTCCTTTCGGACACCCACCCCCAAACAGGGTCTTGTCATGCTTTGATCCTACCCCAAGCCCTCCAGCAAGTCAGGATCATGGGCACACCCATGGAGGTGCCTGACATGTTTAGGTCGACCCAGGATCCAAACCCAGGTCTTCCCATACAGCTCCAATATTGTGAGGCAGCTCCCTGATGCCTGTGCCACCATAGCTGGGCCACTAGGTTGGTTCTTGATGGTTAGTATGTCTAAAATGTCCTTCCACCTTCATCTCCCTAATCATTAGGCGGTGCCTTCAGGAGAGCTTTACTCTTTTTAAGCAGCCCATTTGTCTCTGTCTTACTCTTTGCTCTTACTCATTCGGTGCATGGTTAGTTAACCGTTCATTTGCTTCGTGCCTCCAGTTACGTGATAAGCTTTTGGAAGGCAAAGGCAGTTCTGTATTTTCTGCTAGCTCCAAGGCCAGTTCTATTTGGAGAACAAGTTATTTTACATGCAGTAGCCATTGCTGTTTCCTGTATGTAACAGATACAAAACAAATATTATGGCACAGGCATAGGCAATAACTCCACAGCTTAGACAATTTCAGCTTCCCGTTCTCAGGGGTTTTCCTTTGGGTAAAGAGTTCTTTTTTTTTCTGTGTCTGTAGCTGTTGTCTTGTATAGTATCTCTGAGTCCTCTGCTATGGAAGTAATATTCTCAAAGAAGGGTGTGCATGGATGTGCGTGCATGTGTGTGCGTGTACATATGTGCACGTGTGTGTATCTGTGTGAGAGATATTAGCAAAAACCCGAGTTTACTGTTTGATACTGAAGACAGAGGAAGTGGAGTGGTTTGTATAACATTTCAATTGTATAACTCAGGAAGGCGATCAGTTATGTGCAGGCAGTTCTACTCAAAATAGAAGGGTGGTGTCAGAGCCGCCCACAAAGAAGTGGGCTGCGAGTCTGGAGCAGAATAAACAGAGTCTGCAGAAGATCCTGGTGTTCATTGCGTACCTTCTGGGAATGGGCGCCGTGTTAGACGCGGCACAGAACTTGATCTTCCAATGTCTGTGTACTAAGAACTTGCTTAGAAATACTAATTTAGCCATATGTTACATATTTATATTTAATGCATCCTGTGATCATAAGATCTAGGTACTACTATCTCTGTCAGTATAGAGGAGTTGACTGTGGCTGAGAGAGGTCAAGTAGCCGGTCTAAGATGTCATTCATAACTACCTCGTGGCAGAACCAGGATTTGAATCCAGGCCTGTCCAGTGTCAAAACATGAGAGTTTTTGTTTGTTTGTTTTTAGTTTACTAATTTATTTCATCCGAGAGAGAGAGAGAAAGAGAGAGAGACAGCATCCCCAACAGGGTCTTGACCCTTACTTTCTGCCAGTCCTTGATCATGGCACATGTGTGCCTGGTGTACTGGTATACTCAGAGAGATCTCTGGATACAAACCTGGAACCTTCCAAGGTGGGTCAGCCTTGCAGAGCATTGCTCTCTACCGTTGTACCACCATCCGACCTCCAAAGACTAAGCTCTTAAATACTTTGTCCTATATTAGAGTTTCATCTGACAAGGAGGCTATGATCTAGGGTTGCTGCATAAAAAAATGTTGGGTACAGTAAAAAACATTCATGAAAATTCTTTATTGCTACTATATTGGAGAACCAAGATACCATTCTCTTCCGGGCCTGGCACAGTTCAGTTTTATCCCCAAGTTGGAACAGACAGTTGTTTCTTTAGCTGAGTCCTAGATGTAGCAGTTGGCTACATTTAGAGATCCCATGGTACAAAAAGTGTGTGCCTTTAAACGCAAGAATCACGCCCATCCTGGAGTGATGTTTACATTAGGAACAGTATTGGCAGGACAGGGATCCAGCCCAGAACTCTTCAGGGTGTGGCTGTGCAGTGCCTGTAGAATGTGATCTGGCTCTCTAGAGTCCAGAGCTTTGCAGTGGTGGGACTTGGCTCACTGGGCCCTGTCTGCCTGGCCCCCTGGATGAAATGGCCATGGGCACTCATTTGGATTAATGCCTTGTGGCTTCTCATCATCATCTTTTTTTCTTAGGAATTATTTATTTAATTTTAATTAATTAATTTTGGAGAGCAATGGTGATACTGGAGACAGTGTGAGAGCAAGATGGGGAGTGGGGGAGGGTGAGAGGAAGGGAATCAAGGGAAATAAGAAAGGAGCAAAACATTTAAAAGACCCAAAATGGAAATAAGTCCATTCATTATAATGTGTATGGTAATATCTTTGACTGAACCAATATGCAGTGTATTCGTGATGGGGAAATTCATTTGGTATACTGTAATGGTACACAGTGATTGAATGTAAAAAAGATGAATTAATGAAAAATAATAGAGACGAGACATTTATGGGACACAGAAATGGATTATTATCTGTTAATGAAAACGTGTATAGTATCCCCACCTGGACTGGTGTGAAATGTATTCATGTTGGAAAATTCCCTTTACAAGCTAAGTGATGTATAGCTAAGTGATTGAATATAAAAGAAAATAAAATATGTTAATTATTTATTATTATTATTGTTTTTGTATATTTGCTATAGAGCACACATACTCAGCAGAGAGGGACAGTGAGAGAGAGATTGAGAGAGAGAGAGAGAGAGAGAGCAAAAGCAAACTTCCAGGTCTGGGATCCGAACTAGGCAGCTCCCTGATGCCTGTGCCACCATAGCTGGGCCACTAGGTTGGTTCTTGATGGTTAGTATGTCTAAAATGTCCTTCCACCTTCATCTCCCTAATCATTAGGCGGTGCCTTCAGGAGAGCTTTACTCTTTTTAAGCAGCCCATTTGTCTCTGTCTTACTCTTTGCTCTTACTCATTCGGTGCATGGTTAGTTAACCGTTCATTTGCTTCGTGCCTCCAGTTACGTGATAAGCTTTTGGAAGGCAAAGGCAGTTCTGTATTTTCTGCTAGCTCCAAGGCCAGTTCTATTTGGAGAACAAGTTATTTTACATGCAGTAGCCATTGCTGTTTCCTGTATGTAACAGATACAAAACAAATATTATGGCAAAGGCATAGGCAATAACTCCACAGCTTAGACAATTTCAGCTTCCCGTTCTCAGGGGTTTTCCTTTGGGTAAAGAGTTCTTTTTTTTTCTGTGTCTGTAGCTGTTGTCTTGTATAGTATCTCTGAGTCCTCTGCTAGGGAAGTCATATTCTCAAAGAAGGGTGTGCATGGATGTGCGTGCATGTGTGTGCGTGTACATATGTGCACGTGTGTGTATCTGTGTGAGAGATATTAGCAAAAACCCGAGTTTACTGTTTGATACTGAAGACAGAGGAAGTGGAGTGGTTTGTATAACATTTCAATTGTATAACTCAGGAAGGCGATCAGTTATGTGCAGGCAGTTCTACTCAAAATAGAAGGGTGGTGTCAGAGCCGCCCACAAAGAAGTGGGCTGCGAGTCTGGAGCAGAATAAACAGAGTCTGCAGAAGATCCTGGTGTTCATTGCGTACCTTCTGGGAATGGGCGCCGTGTTAGACGCGGCACAGAACTTGATCTTCCAATGTCTGTGTACTAAGAACTTGCTTAGAAATACTAATTTAGCCATATGTTACATATTTATATTTAATGCATCCTGTGATCATAAGATCTAGGTACTACTATCTCTGTCAGTATAGAGGAGTTGACTGTGGCTGAGAGAGGTCAAGTAGCCGGTCTAAGATGTCATTCATAACTACCTCGTGGCAGAACCAGGATTTGAATCCAGGCCTGTCCAGTGTCAAAACATGAGAGTTTTTGTTTGTTTGTTTTTAGTTTACTAATTTATTTCATCCGAGAGAGAGAGAGAAAGAGAGAGAGACAGCATCCCCAACAGGGTCTTGACCCTTACTTTCTGCCAGTCCTTGATCATGGCACATGTGTGCCTGGTGTACTGGTATACTCAGAGAGATCTCTGGATACAAACCTGGAACCTTCCAAGGTGGGTCAGCCTTGCAGAGCATTGCTCTCTACCGTTGTACCACCATCCGACCTCCAAAGACTAAGCTCTTAAATACTTTGTCCTATATTAGAGTTTCATCTGACAAGGAGGCTATGATCTAGGGTTGCTGCATAAAAAAATGTTGGGTACAGTAAAAAACATTCATGAAAATTCTTTATTGCTACTATATTGGAGAACCAAGATACCATTCTCTTCCGGGCCTGGCACAGTTCAGTTTTATCCCCAAGTTGGAACAGACAGTTGTTTCTTTAGCTGAGTCCTAGATGTAGCAGTTGGCTACATTTAGAGATCCCATGGTACAAAAAGTGTGTGCCTTTAAACGCAAGAATCACGCCCATCCTGGAGTGATGTTTACATTAGGAACAGTATTGGCAGGACAGGGATCCAGCCCAGAACTCTTCAGGGTGTGGCTGTGCAGTGCCTGTAGAATGTGATCTGGCTCTCTAGAGTCCAGAGCTTTGCAGTGGTGGGACTTGGCTCACTGGGCCCTGTCTGCCTGGCCCCCTGGATGAAATGGCCATGGGCACTCATTTGGATTAATGCCTTGTGGCTTCTCATCATCATCTTTTTTTCTTAGGAATTATTTATTTAATTTTAATTAATTAATTTTGGAGAGCAATGGTGATACTGGAGACAGTGTGAGAGCAAGATGGGGAGTGGGGGAGGGTGAGAGGAAGGGAATCAAGGGAAATAAGAAAGGAGCAAAACATTTAAAAGACCCAAAATGGAAATAAGTCTATTCATTATAATGTGTATGGTAATATCTTT